TTAACGAAACCTTGAGAGCGATTGGTTTCCCAAGTGCAACAAACTGATCGTATATCTGAGAAGCCAGCTCACGAGTGGGCGTTAAGACAAGAGCAAAAATCCCATAAGGATCGACGGCCAACTTAATGCACAAACATCTTATAAATTCCCAATAATTGATAACTTAAAGATTCCCACTTCGTTGAGAATAGGAAGGACAAAAGCAAGAGTTTTCCCAGTTCCTGTCTTTGCACAACCAAGCACGTCCTGTCCTTTCAGTACTTGAGGTATACAGTTGGCCTAAATTTGAATAAAATTTATAAGCAGTTTGAATAAAGATATTACGCAGTGATTTGAGAAACGCATGCCTGTACTGGTGTGGGTTTCATGATACGCATAGTACTGAGTTGTTGAATGAGCCAGGAACTCAGACCCAGTTCCGAAAATGACTTGGCCGAAGATAACGGTTCATTAGCCTTCAACGCTCGAGATATGGAAAATTATAAAAGGCGGTATCTGGCTCACGTACGGAAGAAGCGCTTTGTCGTAACTGATCTAATTCCTTTCCTTCCAACTCATCTTCGCTCGAACTATCTTCTGATTCTTCCTCTTCGTCGCTTTCGTTGTTCTGAAAAATCCTGACGAACTTACTGATCAAAGTCGCGTGTTGATTTTACTTTCTATTTGGGGCCTACTGGTGCAAATACCAAGACGTTTGACCAAAAAAGAGGAGCGGTCTTTCAGCTCATTTTTTCAGCCTTCAAGAAATTTGTCTGCAACGACCGCTATTGCGTTATTAGGGAAAGAAGGGTTAATACCAGCAGATGAATATAAAAAAAAAGAAGTGTGCCAAAATTATTGCAATCCTCTTCATTACCTAATGAAACAAACAATGCTACACAACTGCAGAAATCCTTTAAAGAACAGAACAAGCCTTGAAGTACTATATAACTACTAGTGTAAGTAGAGCGGTGTTGAATGCGACCCCACAAAAGGTCTTTGCAAACCATGATTTTTGAAACGGGAAGGCCCACTAGATTCAGCGGGTATATTCAAAATCCAATAAAGGAAATACATTAGGCTAGCTGCAGACAACCAATGTTTTTCAACCAATATGCTGGGTAAAGCTTGAAGTAAGCTAAATTCAACCGGTAAGAGAGGTCAAGCGGAAATGTTGTGCTATTCCAATGAAAGTGCCCCAAAATCTCAAAATTTTGGATTTCACTTAAACTTTGTCCGGAGAGGTTATCTGCATACTAACCACGATGATCGTATCCACTCCACTAGTGGCAGGATACGCTAGATATATTAAAAGAGGTTAAAATCATGTATTTCCTTGAAGGCTCCATTGATGAGGTTACTTGGTATGTTGATTACGAATATCGTTTCATTCTAAACGCTAAGGCTTTTTTTACGATTACGGTAAGTTCAAAGCAAAGGGTCAAATCACGGTCACTTGAAAGTGCGCTAGAAAGCAGTGACATGCTGATCACGAATATGATATTTGTCGCGCGTTTAGTATTACGGTAGATGTGTATGGTCAAACTCGCAATTGCCCTCTTAACGCTCGAAATGTATATAATTCAACATATTCGACTTTTATACAACATTATTTCGGACTTCTAGGCTCCATCCATATGTAACGATTAGTAGCCATGGCTTGCGCTGGCTTCCACGCATAAGGTGCATATTGATTACCACAGCATGACACGGCTTCTTCCGGCGTTTGACGCTATCGCGATTAGGGACCGCCATAGCTGGAGATGCCGTTGGAAGTCTCTCTAGATGGACTTCTTGCAACGTCAAACGAGATTGCTGCGTTTTGCAATCTTTTACAATTTTTTCGCCACATAAATAAACTGAGAAAACGAAAATGAGTTCAATACCAGGAGATTGTGGTGATAATAATAAATTTCTTAAAAACTCTGTGTAATTTGACTTTTAGTTTGTTGAAATAGGAAAAGATATCATAGAATAATTTGTAATGCGTGTGACCTTACACTGCGATACCTCTTTATTAATAATTGTCTCGAGGATGTAGACATCACTACTGACCATTGGGTCGAATTTACTTTCTTTGTTGATGCAAACGCAAACTTATCAACCTTCTGCTCGTCAATGGTTTGTTTACAGATTATTCCAAGCTATGGGCTTTAAGGTTGGTATTGGGGATTTTTGTTATACAACCCTTCCTGTGTTTTAAGTTCGAATCATTGTTTTCTTTTCAAGATATACTTAACACTTTCGTGTATAAACTCGAGTCAAACACGCACCCAAATTGCACCCATTACGACGCCTCTTACGCCAGGAGAAGCGGTGGTCAGCGATCGCCACGGCCCGCCATACCTCTTCTCGTCAGGTATGGATGTACACCTACGGTAGCTCCATAGCAGGCCCCAGGCGCAAAATAAATATGATTTCGTGGTCAGCATGCCATATTATCCCTCAGAGCGAAGTGACAGCATATACAAAATTTGGAGATTTCGGGGTATTGTGAAGGTAGCGCCATATTTTCTTTCCTAAGTATGTGTCAGTTGACTTAAGGGCGAGAAGGGGAGGTACACCACAGGATATATGCAAAGTAAGATGAGTTCAGCCTTATAAAGAGCTGTAACAACTAATACCTGAATTGCACCAAGGATAGAAAAAAATCATTTTTTGAAAGTACTAACCTTTAAATTCGAAGCAACATCACAGAT